ACTCTCGCCCCCCCCCCCCCCTGGAGAGCACACCCTTTACAGGACAAGGAAAGCAGCAGTGTGTCCTCAGTGGTGAGTGTAGTGAATTAGGGAGGCGGGCTTGGTAACTTTCAAGACTTCTTTCACACAAGAAATGTCCTTGAAGTTGCCCAGGATCAACCCCCTGCATCTCCAGTTAAAAAGGACCAGATAGTAGCTGATGTGCCTGAGACCCTGGAAAGCTGTGGAGAGGAGCCGTGGCTCAGTGGAAGAGCCTCTACATGGCATGCAGAAAGTCCCCAGTTCAATCCCCGGCATCTCCAGTTAAAAGGGCCAGGCAGGTGATGGGAAAGACCTCTCCCTGAGACCCCGGAGGGCGACTGCCAGTCTGAGTAGACAATACTGGCCTTGATGGAACAAGAGTCAGTATAAGGCAACTTCATGTACAGGGGAAGGCTGTGGCTCCAGGGTAGAGCAGGGTGTCTAGCTGCTGCTTCTCCCACTGGAGAGCACACCCTTTACAGGACAAGGAAAGCAGCAGTGTGTCTTCAGTGGTAGAGCATTTGCTTGGCATGCAGAAGGCCCCATGAAGCTGCCCTGTACCGAAATACCGGAAGTCCATGAAGGTCGTTATTGTCTATTCAGATTGTCAGCAGCTGTCCAGGGTCTCAGGAGGAGGTCTTTCACATCACCAACTGCCAGATCCTTTTAAGTGAAAGTGCCAGGGATCGAACCTGGCTGGGTCCTTTTGCAGGCCGAGGTCTTTCGCATCTCTTATTACCTCTTATTATTATCGGAGATGCCAAGAATTGAACCTGGGACCTTCTGCGTCCCAAGCAGATGCTTTACCACTGAGCCACTCCTGTGTTGTGATCTGAAGCCTGATTGGGAAGAGGAAGTCCAACTTAGGTGGTGAGAGGGATTCAGCACAGGTGAACTGGTACCTGTCTGAATGTTTGCTGCGTGCACTTTTCCTTCAGTTCTAACACAAGATGGTTAAGATATCTGCATACTCTCAATATCTCAATAAACTTTGCTTCTTTGAATGAAAGCTGTTGGGAACTGATTGCTGCAGGAGTCTGAACAAAGTGTTACAACTGAACTACATCCAGTTGTAGAATCTCTGAGCAGTTTAGGCCTAACAAGTGTCAGACTCGGGCATCTGGCTAGTTGAACCCTGATTTATTGTAACCTGATGTATGCTTGCCTTGCTTGTCTCCTATACCCCTTATCTTTGCCCTCGCCTGCCATTGCATTCCTAGGGGGGAAGTGAGTGGTTGTAGTGAATTAGGGAGGCACGCTTGGTAACTTTCAAGACATCTTTCACACAAGAAATGTCCTTGAAGTTCAGGCTGTGCCTGGCTAGATAGTGGCTGTATATCCTTCAAAGCCATTGTAGTACTGCTGACATGGATGTGAATGGAATTTTGGGATTGAACCTATATTCAGCTTTCCCGCCTTTGCACCCTAGTCCTAACAAAGAGTTTGAACCCACAGCATCTCATATTTCATTCGCTGCTAAAGTGTGCTAAATGGCTTGACTGGGAACCTGGCAACTAGTGTGTTAGGTGATCCCAAAAATGCACTTCTGCTTAAAAATACTAGAAATGCCTTGCAGGGTCTGAGCATGCTCTTAACCTACTCCAGTATTCTTTTCAAGAGTGCGAGAGTCCTACCCACTGGAAGTTGGTGTTTGGTCCACCTGAAATTGACCAGCAGCCCGTCAGCGGTCACAGCATAATTTATTATCACTCCTGCCTTCAAGTAATGGTCGTCTATGCTTGGATGGAGTGCTGAGCAAGCTGCTGTTGATAAGGAGGGCTACAGAGATAATGAAAAAAAGGCCATCCCTTTGCCAATGGTGATGTTATTTTTTTTTGCAGGTGACATACAAATGGCTGAGCTATACGCTCGGTGTTCACGTCAACCAGGCTAAGCAGTAAGTACTGATATATATATTTTTTGGTGCCCTGCATTTTGGGGGTGGATGAAATTAGAGATGTGAAGACCCGGAAAAATCTGGGTAAAAACGTTTTCCCCGTTTTTTTCCTGAAGCCTTCCCCCCCCCCCGAAAAACTGGAAAAATTGAAAAAAGAAAAGAAATTGATTATGGAATGTTTTATTTTAACATGATG